GTGGCGAGTTCGCTGGTGGCGAGTCTGCTTGGTGGCGAGGTAACTGGATACCAGCGCCGTCTTTGATCGCATCGTTCATGTCAGCTATTACAATTCTTGGTGTACCCGCAGAAATTTACATCTATAATACACAGAACTGGCTTATCATTGCCTCCTACGTGATTCTCTTTCCATCTGTGGCGCTGCTTTTCGTTCCCGTGTTCCGCGCTGTAGATATCTCGAGTTTTTACAAGGTAAGCTAATCATATGTCAGAACTGATAAGTCATTTAAGTCATTGTGTTCTAATTTTTACTTTTTCTTTTATTAGTCTTGGTTAAAAAAACGTTTGACAGTGTTTAAACAAGTTTATAGTTCATAGTTTCCACAGATGCATAGAGGACTCTGCAAGGAAAAACCAGAGTGGAAAGGCATGGAAATTATCAAGGAAATGCATACAATAGCTGTGAACTAGTTAACAGCAGTCAGTCTCATGCTCGGGTTCAACTAAGAGACTCTTCAGCGTTTCGTACACAACGTTGTTACATGTGTTCAGGTATAGATTAAGCGGACCGTAGATTGTAGGACAGATGTTTGTCTAGACTTTCATTACGGTGGAAATAGTGCAGTTTGGCAGAGTTGATTTTGCCGTGTTTGGAATTATGTTATTCCTGTCGACCGCTATTGGGATATACCATGCCTTAACCGAAGGAAAGCTGCGAACAACGAAGGAATTTCTCTTCGCGAACCGCGGGTTGATGGCGATACCTGTTACGTCGTCTTTGATCGCATCGTTCCTGTCAGCTATCACAATTCTTGGTGTACCTGCATAAATTTATATTTATGGTACACAGTACTGGCTTATCATTGCCTCCTATGTGATTCTCTTTCTATCTGTGGCGCTGGTTTTCGTTCTCGTGTTCCGCGCTGTAGATATCTTGAGTTCCTACGAGGTAAGCTAATCATATGTCAGAACTGATAAAATGAATAAACTCGTGTTGTTTTGTTTATATCAACAAGAATATTGTGAAGGCGCCTTTTAAGTCATTGTGTTCTAATTTTTACTTTTTCTTTAATTAGTCTTGGGTAAAAAAAAGTTTGACAGTGTATTAACAAGTTTATAATTCATAGTTTCCTTTGATGCATAGAGGACTCTGCGAGGAAAAAAAAGGGGAGAAAGGCATGGAAATTATCAAGGGAATGCATGCAATTGCTGTGAACTAGTTAACGGCAGTCAGTCTCATGCTCGGGTTCAACTGAGAGACTCTTCAGCGTTTCGTACACAACGTTTCTATATGTGTCCAGGTATTAATTAAGCGGACCGTAAATTGTAGGACAGAGGTTTGTCAAGACTTGCATTTTGGTGGAGATAGTGCAGTTTGGCAAAGTTGACTTTGCCGTGTTTGGAATTATGTTATTCCTTTGGACCGCTATTGGGATATACCATGCCTTAACCGGAGGAAAGCAGCGAACAACGAAGGAATTTCTCTTTGCGAACCGTTTTTTTCCCCTATTCGATGTATGACTTATCTTAAAAGGGTCCGGTTCAGACGCCGTACATCTGCCGCGCCGTGGTAGAACACGTCTGATCGTCTAATCTAGGGTAGATGGGAGTTGACGGGGTAGAACATGGCTAACTTAGCTGGGTATAGGTGTATAGGTGGGTTAACGTGGTTGAACATAGCTAACCTAAGGTACATGTGGGTTAATGGGGTAGAATATGGCTAACTTAGGGTAGATGGA